AATATATAATAAATTTATTTTTATTTTAAATTATTTCATATAAATATTTTATCACAAACTATATAAAATACACGTACTTATATATCACGATTTTTATTTAATTAAATTTTAATAAACTTCTGTTATATAAAAGCACGTTTAAGTTATTTTTAATGCATAGAATGTAGCAGTTTGTGATGGGAGTTGAATGTTGCAATTGCTTAAGTATCATTAAAAAATCCTTACTCTAAAAAAAGTTATCATTTGTAAACGATATCTGAACTCGAGTTCATTAAAATATGATTTATAAAGAAAATTATTTTACGTTTTTCTTTTAATTTTCTGTAGAAAAATTTTCCTTATCGATTTTTGTCGTAAAAGTATACTAAATACAATTTTTTCTTTTTCCTATTTATAACTTAATCGTACAATCTATCAATTCTTATGAATAAAATTTCCTTAAACGAATCCTTTACCGGATTTAGCTTCTTTAAATTATTCAATTTTACGGATATTGCATGCGATTCCCCATCTGATTCGAATACACAAAAAGTTACATCGAGAATTTCGAAAGAAAAACGCAGCTGCTGCTGCTTCTGCTTCTTCTTCCTCCTCCTCCTCTTCTTCTTCTTCTGATTCTACTGCCGCTGCACTAACTTAAATTCGCTTCTCCAGTTTAGATACTTCCCCATTTCGAATTTATTTTCTGTATAAAAAATATATTCCCTGTGCAGGTTTTTTTTTCTTTAGCGAGAGTGTTGTAACCTAGAACGATTTCACGGTTTGATGTTAACAATTTGGGCTTAACTGCTTGCCACAGATGACAGGGATGATCCCTGGGGACTCGATTGCGTCTCTGGTTATACTGCATCCCCATGGGGTCGGATAATGGGAGATTTCTGCACACGATCGTCTTGGGAATCATCAGGAACCTCTTTGGACGTTGTAGAAAGGAGGAAGAGGTCTAAATCCTAGTCAAGATTCGCTCGAACAAGAGTCTCACTGATGGAAAATGGTGTCAAGAGAAATAACTTTACGATCCCGTCTGTACACCAGATGCGAAAGAGAGAGGAGTTTAACCCCGGATATATCCCTCTATGGAGTTATTTTAACAATGGCATATTTTGCTCTCGAAACACTTTTTACGAGAGAAAGGAACAGGCGATTATCTACAGTTTGTGAATAATTCGAGAAGCTTCGCCGGTGTCACGTGATAGCGTGATCGGTACGTTAATAAGATAAAGCACGTAATGCCCTCGTTTAGACAAGGAGAGACCTGAAAGATGAAGAAGCGTTGACTCACCGTAAATAAAGCAATTCTACGATTAGTCGGCTTATGTGAAAGATGAACAATTCTTTAACGATTATTCCATGCCAAAAAAAAAAAAAAAAAAAAAATAGAAGCCGACAAAAAGGCGCCCGACCGCGTAGACCAAAACGCAATTAGTCATATTCTGTGACAGGTAATGTTCAGATCACGTGTGAGCGTGACAGGTCCAGCAGTTTTGTGAAAAATGTCAGCCTTATCGCTGCCTCTAATAGAAAATCTTGTTTAATCAACTAAACTACATTAATATAACTCACGGTTTTGAATTAATGCAGAGTGATGGAAGCGAAAACGATATATAATTTGCTTGGAAGGCGCTAGGTTGCCCCTGTAAATGTATCTTTTCCACACGATTGTTAACTTTGAGATGAAGCCGAACACAAAAAAATTAACGCTGTTTTCTCTCACTTAAACGACTTTTTGAAATAATTTAGCAGGAATTATTTATAGAAAAAAAACGAAGATATTACTTTTCTTTTATTTCTGGAGGGGGAAATTTACTTTTACTTTTTGTTTTTTAAGTGCACCTATGTAATTTGAAGTAGAAGGATTATTGATTGAGGACAAGGAATGAAATATCGAAGCTTCCGTTTCTGTCGTGTTATGTAAATACGTCTTTGTTTGACTCTCAGAATCGATGGCTTATCGCAGATAAATATACCGCTTCTGTCTTGCCTACAGCTATTCCTCTTGTAGGAGACAACATAAGATGTTAAAAGGCTCCTTTGATATCCGAAAGAATATCTGGCTCCTTTTAATTAAATGCAAAGATGGATTCTCGTTCCTACTCCTCCTTTCTGTCGACACATGCAAATCGGTCTTGTACCACACACTCAACTCTCCGATTTTTCTTTTGTTTGTTCGTTTTCTAGTGTGGGATGTCCGGTTGGAAGACATTTGCATGTAAAGTGAGCGGAGACATCTCTCTAATCATTTTTGTTGTGATTATAAACGAATCAAAATTTTAAGTACTAAAATTTGGGGTCCTTTAACGTCCACCCGCAGAAACAAGATAGAAAATCTAAATTCTAATTAAATTTTTTTCCGAATTTCTTTCTTTGATGTTAAAGTGGACAGTTTCCATCATACTCATAATGATAGAAACTATCCACTTTCTTAACATAATTTGTAGTTAAGAGATGATTTTCGAGAATAATAATAATATTAATAAATGAATTTTAAACATATTTAGAATACTAGAAAACTAGACTTTAATTGATTAATGAGAAATAGAGATTTTCGCATATATTCGTTGAATAATTTTTGTGTTAAATAATTTTCTTATGATTAAGAAAGCTTCTAAAACAAATATATAATTAAGAATTTTCGTGCATTTCGTGAAAAATATCGATTTAATAATTTTTCATAACTTTAAAATGATCCTCGAGGATTATAGATATGCAGAGATGTTCGCATATCTTAGGATTAAACAATTCAATTTTACATATTTTTACGAGATTTTTCGTAACTGAGGATTCGAGAACCGAGAATAAAATGACATTAGTGGAAATTTAGTATGAAAATAAAACATTGCAAGAAGGGAAAAAAAGAATATGGCACGAATAAACAAAGGAGATAATATGAAATAACTATTCTTCTTAAATTTCTGTTATTACTTAACGCATCATCCAATAGAAACAACTCTGAATCTCCTCGGAGCGTTACTTTTCTTTATTCAGAGCAACACCAGCGTTCCTCCTTAATCAAAACAACACTCCACTTTGCAGTCACAAACATTTTCTTCTTCCAACAAAGAGCATCTTTTCCTCCATTCGCCTGTTAATTAGAGCAGTTTCTTTCCACCCCCGCATCGCCGCCTCAACTTTTACAACTTCATATTTCAGAGCGGACAGACAAGTGGCTAATAAAATAGTCCAAGACCGAAAGTCAATAGCGTCGTCTGGCGCCGAAAGCTAGGCGCCACTTATCCCCCCTCCTGCTGCATCTCCATATAACCCCAACAGAGCAGCATACGATATGTAAACTTAACAATCTCTTCTTCCCCATTTTTACCTTTTTTTGTGGGCCAACCCGCGCCTTATACAGGATATTGCGCTTCTCTAAAGGCAAATAGAAAGCAAAAATTAGCACTTTTATCGTCTCCCTTTAAAGCTGAGCCTCCTCTTCTACATCATTTTAAAATCTAATTTGTTCTCTTCCACGATTCGTGTATTGAAGAAAAAAAAGAATAATAATAATCTCTCACACTTCCTAAATCACAAAATGATGATATTTTAGTAGAATTTATTATTATTTCTATTCCGAATGGCCTCGAGCATTCGTCGCAGGGGGGATTGATCCTTCTACTGCTGCCATCTGTCGAGAGCAATTTAAAGATAAGTTAAGGAGCAAATCGTTAAAGTATGAAATTATAAAAGGGAAATAGAAAGGTCCGTAAACATAAACCTTTGGTTTCCTGTGTGGAAAATGATAATTAATGGAGTTAAATTCCTCATTAGCTTTGGAATTTCATGGTTTATAACTAACAAATTGCTCTTTAGTGTCATTTGAACTCGGATAAAATGTTTCGGTAAAAGGTGAATTGGCTCCGTGGAGAAATTTAATTTTGATTCTTGTAGTTAATTTTTCACATATTTTAGAATAAATTTAGTTTCCGAAGATTTTTTTAAAATAAGAATTATAGGAAACTAATAATTTTCAAACGAAAAATTAACTATAAAGTTTTTGTAGTTAAAGAACAGGCGGAGAAAAGAATCCTCAGATATTTCGGGATATTTTAGGGGAAAACTATCGATTTCAGGGATATATAAGAAATTTTCACAGTCTTCGACATTATTATAACTGAAAAGAATTCTTAATATTGAATTTTTCACTAAATTATATGGAAGAATTTTAGAGATTAACTAGAAATGATGAGATAATTTTTCAACCATTATCGTCTCAAGATGAGAGACGACAATGGCTGAAAAATTAGGAATTTTTGCTTCTTTTAAAATTAAAAAACTTTAATTATATTATTATTTTCCGGAAATTTAATAGTTCAGCATTCTCTAGAATGGAAAAGCTATTAATTCTTCATCAAAATATAGAACAGCCTTTATTAAAAAAAAATTCATAGCTAATATCCTTGAGATGATAAATATTTGTACATTTTGAAATTAAAAATAAATACGATTATTCTTAATCAAGATTGGACTTCAAGAGTGAAGAAGTAGGAATTTTCTTACAAGTTTTATGGGAGAAAGTCAAATATTCTGAATATTGTGAGAGAAGTCGTGCGTTAAGAATGGTAGAGAAGTCATCCGTTCGATTATTAAGCATCTTGAAAGTATTATCATTAAAAAAATCATCTCACAATTCAAACACTTTTAGTAAAGTTCGAATCCTACTTAATATCCAGCATATTGGATCGGTACGTGAGATGATTGTCACATTCATCCGACCCACATCTTTACAACCTGCTGCAAACCTCCAACAGAAAACTCACTGATCATAAAACAAAAGTACTTCTCTATCTCACAAGTTGGTATCTGAAACCTTTTAAAGATATTCCGTATTCTGCCCTGTGCTCTTCTATTTTTTATTGTTTTTTTTGGCACAAGGCGCATTTCTAACATTGATCCCATTGACGTGTTCAGAAAAGTAGATTAGTAAGGGCTTCTACGACTTTACATAAAACATTGTAGGGGTCGAGCGAAATGATAAACTTTTCCACTTCTTGCTCTTATGACAGATCCCTGTAAGAAGATAATGTGTGGAAGATGGAGGGATTGTGAAGCCAACCAATTGGGCGAAGCGGTGTGCGTTTGCCAGAGGTTCTGCAAAAAAAGGAAGAAACCTGTATGTGGATCCGATGGAGCATACTACGTCAATCATTGCGAACTACACCGGGCTGCCTGCCTGACTGGAAGAGCTATTACTATTGACCACAAAGGCGGTTGCTGGAAGAAGAAAGGTAAGTACAGGAGAAGAAATTGGGTAGGTTTCCCCTCCTCTTTTATAGCCTCAATGCTGTGTGTTTCTCATATTAAGGTAGTCTAGAGCAATAAAAATCTCAAACTACACTCCAAAATAATGTATTTAATGTGATTATTAAAGAATATCTATTCACCTTGCACAAATTATGAGAAAGCTTAAACCAAGCTTTCTACATCTGGTCTCGTCTTCCATCTATCTAACACCGTTCTCGTGATTAAGGAAGGACAGACAGACACGAAATTAAATCTACAATTTTTTTCAAATTGCAGCCCAATAACTCCCAAACAATGGCCTTACTTTTAATGTTCCTGTCACTAGCCGTTATTTAGAGATTTGACCGTATTTAAAGGCAAGAATCTTAAAAATTTACATACAGAATACGACCATTTATAAAAAAAAAAGTTTGACAGTTTTCTAAGAGGGCATTAACCTTTTGATGAAGACATTATCGTATCTCTATTTTCGATTATCATTTTCGACCTGTTAATGAGAATTCGTTTTATGATGTCGACTTTTGGTGATAATTGTTTGCTAATTGGACTTACCACCTGAATGCCAACTCCACTAATTTTCAAGATTGATTTTTTTTTTAGATTTTTCACTAATTTACTTCATCCTTAATGACTTTATTAATTAACTGACTCCCTAAATGCAAATACAATTTCCAAATGAAAGGATGAGATTCTACTTTACCCATACAGATACCACTATCTGTAGCTTCCTGATTGATTCTAAAGTCATCAATTCTTATTGAAAAGTCTTATTGATTCTTATAAGGTAAGATAATATTACATTTCAGTAGAAGCAAGATGAAATATTTTAAAAGTTTTTGATCAGTGCTGATTTTTGAAGTTAAAAAGCATGGTTTAATATGAATTTAATCATTTTATATTTATTTTAAAGCATAAATATAAGGGAGCATTTATTTTTAACAAAGTACTACACAACTTGAGATTAAAGTCACATTTTATATTCTCCAATAGAAATTTATTTTATTTAATGTTAGAAAGATACAAATATAATAGGCCGATTGTGTAGAAAGAAGATAAAATAATAAAATATAATTATTAGAGAGGTCATTCTAATACAGAGTTCTCATCTTTCCAGAAAATGAGGCAATTAAGATTGTTTATCCCAATTAACATTGACTATTATTCTGAAGTCTTAATCTTAGAAAAGAATGCTAGTGTTTAGGCTACTTTAATTGAGAAATGTTATGAACTGACAATCAACCTCTTCTAATTACTTTCCTTGTAAAACAAAAGAAAAATTCAAGTATCAAAATGAAACTGTAGAAGTTCAGCTGTATAGTAATAAAATTTATTATTATTTAGATTAGTTAATTTTAAATTAATATAAATTAGCTTATTTGTTTTAAATATAGCATGATTTAAAACTAATTTAATTAATTATATTTTTGTCTTTTAGTTCAATAGTAAATTTTAAAATTTTAAGTTATTTTTATCATTGTGTTTAGATTATGAAAGCACTACAATAAAGGAGGATTATGCTACAACTGAGAAAAGGACAGAAATGCCATCTTCGTGGACTAACCTACCCCAACCAGATTCACGTTCGTCTTCTACCAGCACCACTGAGGATCCTTCGGATACTATACAACAGAGAGAATGTTCACAACAAGAATATGATTTCATGAAAGAGAATTTACTATTGTACAACAATGCAAAACTTATGGATAGCAAGAAGTCTGGTGAGTTAATATAGGAAGTAAAACTTTTACTGTTTGGTAAAGAATTAAAAATAGAAACCAAGTTTCCCTCAAACTTACCAAAAAGTGATATTTTTACTGTTTAACAGAAATAATTATTCAAGTGTCAACGTTTCATTAAGATAAAGCTGATCTTTTGGTAATTATTGTAATAAAAGATGCTTTTAATTAACTTAAATAGCTGCAAGTAACTGATAAGAAAAAGACAAGTAAATTATTCTGTTAAAATCCTCATTAACCATAATTTATTACATTATCCGGTTTATTATCAACATTTCTACAGCTGCTCCTTTTAAAATCTAACAATATAGCTTTTTTAAGTTTAGTTTATGTGAATATTGGAAATTTTTAAGAGAGAACTTTCTTCTTTTTGCAAATAGCTGCATATTTATTCATGTTCAGAGCCTTAGAAAATCAGATAAAATTTGTACATTACAATTTTAATCTTTATTAAGCTTAAATATATTATGTAGATACCTCTAATATCTTGTAAATAAACATTAAATTGAATTTTTAAGAGATTAAAATTTTAATCTTTGACCAGGGAATGAATATTTGGTTAGCATAATGTTCTCACATTATGATCAAAATAACAATGGATTACTGGAAGCTGAAGAGCTGTGGCAAGCTGCAGAAAAAGATCATCTTGGTCAACTGTCTACCTCTTGCATCCTCGCTGACATGCTGCTGTTTGATGATGCAGATCATGATGGACGATTGAACATAAATGAGTTCTATCTTGCTTTTAGTAAGTTATACAGTAAGTTGGAAAGCTTTCTCTGCTTCTTAACTTTACTTGGCATATTTCTTTTTACTGCTACTTACAGAAAGTCCAGTTTCTATAATATATCTGTAATTTGTAATTAATAATGGATTTAAATAAGCAAATTTATATTTATGATGATTTTCTTCTCATGAATCTTTTTCCAATAAAAGCTTTGAATAATACAGAAAACTCTATAAAGATGACATACATTAGTAAACCTTCATATCCAAATTATAGTTTAAATATTGCTCAATAAAAAAATCATAAAAAATTAAAAGTTTAATAAGCTTGCTTTATTTATAATTTTAAAAAAATGCCTTTATTTAATATTGCTTCTCAAACTAATAATTGCAAATTTAATTTTGTATATATATTTTAAAAATTCACAATAAGTTTGTTCTGAAAATATACTTGATTTTTTTTAAAATTATGTTGTGTTAACAGCTAGAGATCAAAGGTAGATCACTTGATGATAGAATTTAAATGTTTTTACAGGTGTATCTGTTGTATCTTTAGACAAAACTCTAGAAGTAAATCATGTGACAGCTCGTGTTGGTGATAATGTAGAAATAAAGTGTGATGTGACAGGAACTCCTCCACCTCCCATAGTGTGGCGCAGGAACAATATGGATTTGTCAGTGTTAACTGAAGAAGAGATAAAGGTATCTAACATTTTATTCTTCTTCGAGAAAATTTTTCCAGAAATTTGTTAACTTGTCTTTATTGTCAAGAGATTTGTAACATTTATCACATTTTTTTTCCTCTCTTCTTCATTTATATTAGATAATCACAAGAGGCACCTCTCAACATATTAATATTCAGATTTTGATGAGGAATTCTAATCTAATGCAGTAAAATTTAATTACTTTGTTAATGCCTGCAGCTAAACTTTTTCTATGCATTTAATGATATTAGTTTTGTTATTCAGATTTTAATTAATCAAATCTACTTTTTAAATGTTCAATTATATCAATTAAATCTTGCATAAAAAAAGTTGGACAATCAATAATCTCCAAACCTTTAAATTATATATGTTAGAATTATATTTCTTCAATTTTTATAAATAAAGATTGTCTATTAATAAATAAATAACTATGGAACCATCCATTAATTACATGACAGTTTAAGGAAGGGAAGGAGGATTGCGAAAAGTACATTATCATACATGGAGAGGGAGAAGGTCCAGACATTGTTTACATGGACTTTTTTTACTGGTATTTGTTCTTATAAGCCTACTTGTCCTGTGAATAAACTGTCAAAAAATATTATAGAACTTTTTTTAAGTAAGTTATTTCTTGAATGTCAAGGGATCTGTACACAATTAAAGGGGAAGGGTGTTGCCAAAAATACATCATAATATAGGGGAGAGGATCAAAAATGACTCAAACTGTATATATAATTAATGGACAGCCCTTATGAAATAAAATAATAGAAAATAGATGAATGCTTCAAATATGCATTATTTTACTTTATTAAGCATGTTATTACATGAAAAAATCTTTTATAAAAAATATGTCATTTTATCATTCAGAAAAACAATTATATTAACAGATATTATTTCTGTAGTAGTATTTGTAGACAGTTTCAAATGACCTTATTATATGCAATGATTAATTTATATTATAAATTGATGAAAATATATCATTTGTTCATTTGAAATCATTTCAATCAGTTGATGTCAATTACCACAAGATTACTCTTAAGCAGATTCCTAGCCTATTTCTTGAAGTAAATGACAACCTTGCCTCAATATTTGATTCCAGAAGTTTTTAAATAAAGATCACTCTAAGAACAATGAATAATTACAACTAATTATTTCTTAATCATATAGCTAATATATACATCCTAGCTCAAAATTCAATAGTTTTTCATGCCAATGTTGGAGAGAGGTGCTTCCCTATAACTCCACAAATGAAATTGCTTCATATCAGTTTATTCCAGAATTTAAAAAATGTAAAAGCATTTTAAGACTATGATAGATGATGAAAATGATATAAATTGTTAACATTTCTTTTACACAAAATAAGTGATTGCAGATGATTTGCTAGTTGTTTCCTACCAGTTTGCATCAATTAATATCTTTCAAATGATATTTCTTACTTGGACATTACAATTGTCTGTGCCTATGTTTTCATCAGTGTTATTTAATCACAAAATATGATTCTTCTTATAATAGTTTTAATAAATAAATGATTTCATCAGTCATTTTCTCATTTGAAATATATATATATAACAATTATAATTAAATAATTGCAATTTTAGGTATTTGTCGACGGTTCTTTGTATTTAACTAATGTTCAGTTAGTACATGGTGGAAACTATACCTGCCATGCTCAACATAATAGAGATGTCATACAAACTCATGTTCTACATGTAGAAAGTAAGTTTGTTTGAAAGCATTTTAATATCATGAGAAATAAGGTTATATATAAGTTTTTTCATTTTTGCCATTACAGCAATTCCAGAAGTGCATGCAATACCAAAATTACAATCTCGAGCACCAGGGGAATTAACAGAAATGGAATGCCATGTGACAGGAGTTCCATTACCACATGTAACGTGGTTGAAAAATGACGAAGAGTTAAGATTATCATCAGAAAAATATACAATTGTTGGTTAGTATTAAATTTTTATTATAATAGTTATTGTTTTGTAGAAAAAATGAAAAATAATTTTAAAATTATTTCTATTTTAGGAAATGGAACAGCATTAATAGTTGGCAAAATAACTTATAGTGACACTGGTGCTTATATGTGTGTTGGAAGTAATCCTGCTGGAACCACCAGGGATATTAGCTCTCTTGTAGTTCAAGATCAACCAACGCCAAGTAATTATTATTAATAATATGAACTAAAGTAATTTTGATTCTATTCAAAGGAAATTTCTATCAATTTCATTCAAACAAAATAAATAAATCTTTTAATATTTAAATCTCAAATTTACAAACATTTCATTACAAAGTAAGTTTTTTAAAAATAACAATAATAAATTGTTTTACATTTATGTTAAGAAATTCTATACACATTTTAACATTTTAGCTGTGTTCAAATTAAAGATAAAACTATTGATTGCAATTCTTAATTCAGTTGAAATTTCTTTGCTAGATAAGATGTCTCATAATTGTTTGTTTTATGATCTAAAACTCAAAATGAAAGTTTAATACATAATGCCATTCTTTACATTCTATGGTTTGTGGCTAATTTTATTTCAAACAATATGATAAAAAAAGAAGATTAGAAAATTTCTCTTTGTGGAACAACTCAATTTATTTATTAATCTTATATTTAACACAGCCAAGAAGGCTTTATAATATGCATTTTGGTTCCAATTATAATTCATGATAAAAATGTTAATATAAAATTAAATATTTTATAAAAACTACCAAGACTTGACTTTTTTTTTTTTTTTTTTAAGATTTAGAAGTGAAATTATAAACTTTACTGTCTTATCTGTTAAAAATTATTCTTGGATCAACAGTTATCATTTTTATAGCACTGAAAATGTTTACTAAATCTTGCTGAAACTTTAAGCAATAATATTCAAATCATTTAAATCTGATCAAACAGATATATAAGAAAAATGTATACAGTAAAAATTCAAAAACATTCCAAATAAATGCTTATACAAACCTGAATGTATATAAAATTCTTTATTCACCAAATATTTTGGAGTATTTTTCCATTTTCAATTCAAATTCAGTACCTCTTGAAGCTGGAGAAATATTCCAAAAACGTTTGATGAATAAAGAAATTTTATACTTTCAATGCTTTATAAATACCATACTTCTTTGAAATGTTTCTCAATAGCAAATATTTCAAATTTGCACAACAATAACTTTTCCCAACTAAATACAGGTTCAATTTGGAATTTTGATAGGAAAGATAATAGCTTTTGAACTATCCATTATTTCTATGACTACCTTTAATGGAAATTGTAAAATACATTATTATTTAAGTCTAAAATGGCATAGAATTAGTGTAATTATTTGAAGAATTTTTTTACCAGATATCAAAATCTCTTAAATATGAGATGAAACATAATTGGTTTTAATGTTGACTATTAATTGCTGGAATAGATAATAAAATTTGAAATGTGCAGTAAAACTTAAATTATTAATACTAGGATTTAAAAAGAATTACAAATATATGTTTTGCTTCTAATTAATCTAAATATTTTAAAATTTCTAATTCATCATTCTACTTAAATTTTTGATCAAAGAAATTAGATATATTTAAATTTTCATAAATTTTAAGAAATTTTAATCTTTAAAATAATTTTAAGCATTAGATTAATGACATCTATTTTCATGATATTAAATGTGATTTACCATGATAAGTTTGAAAGAATACTGCTTTTCTTTTAGCAGCTCCATCTGAAGAACATCGGTTTTTCGTTCTTCACGACTGGGGCATATCATTGTATGATCCTAACAACTGCAGGCTCTATCATCAAATTCAAAGCACAGACATCATACCCGGAACACAAGAATATGTATGTGGTGATCGAGGCACAAATTGCTCTTGGGGACGTGCAATTAATGTGGCCAATCGTTATGTCTATGTATCGCAGCCAACAAAAGACAGAGTTTTAATTATATCAAGAGTACAGATGGTTGCTGTGGATGTGAGCCATTATTAAAATAGATTTTATAAGAAAAAAAAACACACGAATGTAAATTTTTAATCTATTATATATTTTTCTTTCCAGGTTGTCGTAACTGACAAGTATCCAGTTGACTTACACTATGTTCCACATTTAGATCAGGTATGGGTACTGTGTTGGAGGAGGACTGAAGATCGGGGCACAAAAACTATTCAAATAATAAGAGATGCCAGCCAAAAGAAGAAGCATCACACAGTTCATCCTGAGCCTGTTGATGGCCATTTTGATTTAGTATGTTTATATTGAATTTTTATTATAATAAGACAATTACATATAATTATATTTTATGTTCAATGTAGTTACTAAAGTGTACTTACAAACAAAATAACATGAATTTATCAAATTTAAATGAGAAGTTCTAATTCTCTACACCATGAGCTGAACTTACAAATATTAATTCACATCATCTACATTATTTATTAAAAATTGTTTCTGCTAAGTGTAGAAGGTGTAACTTAATGTATGAAGTTCTATTCTGATTTATAATGAAACTGACATTACAGTTTGTCATCATGTAATAAAACAATTTTTTGACTATTACTTTTAAATTTGTAATAGATTTGAAATATAAGAAAATTTCATATTAGAAAAATTATTTTTTCTTTAAAATACAATATGATTCTCAATTTTATTTATCATTTAAGTACTTTTTATAATGAACTAACCAATGCTGAGATATTATTTAAGGTTAATCCTTATTTTAAAGTTTTTAAATGTTAAAATTCAAGAATTGTATGAATTAGCAAATTAATCAGAAAATTTTAATCTAGTAAAACTTCTGTAACTCAAATATTTCTTTAACTTCAAGAAAATGTAATACTTGGTAGATGTCAATAGAATAGCATAAAGATTTAACATCTTTAACTTGAATTTCTCCAAGTCAAAGATTTTTGTGGTCCCCTAATACTGATTTATGTTACTTTCAACTTCCCTGAATTTTAATATTTATTCTATCCAAAGTGATCCTAATTATCAGATTTCCAGGAAATTTTCAGACTGTTAGTTGTATCTAATGTTCACCACTCATTTGCAGGCAACATTCCAGTTCAAAGCAATAGAATCTCTCACTTTATCTCAGCAAGATGTACCTGAAAAACTGTTCAATTCCATTAGCTACATTGAAAATTTTGCTGAAAAGTGTTACATGAATCATTTAAATAAAAAAATTTTAAAGACTTCTTTATATAATGTAAGAGAGATTAAAATACAAAATTATTCAGAATTGGCATTTTTCACTCTATTGTTCTCTAACTCAAAGTTTTTTCCTGCCCCTTGGAACATCAAGTTAGAGATGTTTTACTGTAATTGTTTTATTTATCCACAATGATATAATTAATTATGATAAAAACAAAATAAAATTTTTAAGCTGTTTGAATTAACCATTTAACTTAGGTTAGTGGATTGTTTATACCACCTGTTCAAGACTTAGGCCATGGATGGAAGTATGGATATGTCGTGCATACTAATCAACGTGGAATGTATAAACTGGATTTACAAGGAATGAAATACAGTAAAACAGTTGATTTAACTCCTTACAATTGTGCTCCTAAGAGTGCTGATTTTTCATCATTAGGTAAGTTGATATTTTACTTTAAATTGTAGTAATAGATTAACTAGTAGTTCAAATAATTTATAACTTCTTATAACTTGCTTATGATATGATTTTGATAAAAATATTAACTTATACTGGAATTAGAAAGAATTATACAAATTATCACCTTTTTAAGTACTCCAGCAAATAATTTAATATTGTAAAAACATTTTCGATCATCTTTAACGATCTTCATCAGTTAAACAATAAAGTAAAAAGAACATTCAATTTTAATTTATGTTCTTACTTTATTGTTTAACTGACAAAGATCGTTAAAGATGATCGAAAACGTTTTTACAATATTAAATTATTTGCTGGAATATTTAAAAAGATGATAATTTGTATATGATTTTGTATCAAGAAATATAATTCAAATGAAAATTATTTTGTACACAGATAATATAGCATTCTCTTGAAATAAACTAGAACTGTTTTGTAGAACATGCTAATTTATTGTGTAAAAATATAATTTTTAGACTTATTAGCATTTATCTTGAAATTTTATTTATTGTTGTTAGTTACATTTAATTAGGGGTTGTCCATAAATTACATCCACATTTTTCTTGAAATTTTTACTCTCCTCCCCCATTGTCTCAGTTTGTCCAAGTTTACATAACCCCTCCCCGCTTCAGACGTCCAACTAAACTCAGTCCCCCTCAAAACCTTTAATTTCATAAAATGATAAACTGTTTAAAACGGATGTTCATTGAAGTTCAATCCCTTGTCCAACTTGTCATAACCCTCTCCATCCCTTTGTGTGAACAACATTTATGGACAGCCCCTTATTATGCATGCTTTTTTGAAACAGGCTGTTCATTATGGCTTTATATTGTAAATAAACAATTAATGCAAATTTCAATAAGAAATCTTTGGAAACAATTTATACAATTACAATAGAAGAAATTGTAATTGAATTTGCAAATTCTTCATAAATTTTGTTTTCCAATTGTTTACAACCAACATTGAATGCTATCAAACGAATCAAATTCTATAACTCTAATGATTTATTTATATATACCTTCACTGATAATTAACTATTCTTCTGAATCATTCCAATGTTGCTATAAAAGATTTAGTAGAATAGTATTTAATTTAATGTTGTTTACAATTCTATTTAGATAATGTTTTACAAAATAAAACTTATTATTGATCCTGAAAACAATTTGCTAATCAAATTTAAATGTAAAAATAGAATAATCCAATTTGTCTTCATTATGACTACAATGTATTCTGTCAGATATCTATTTGACTTGGAATTGTTTAATTAAATAACCATGCAATGCTAGCATACTAAGTTAATTTGACTATTCCTTTGTTTTGAATAAGAATATAAGAACAGTGTTTTCATGTTGAGTTTAAAATTAATCATTACAGGAAAAAGCACCAAAATATTATCCAAATTGCACTCTGTATTACTAATAAATTTTTTTAAATAGGAGGATTTGTCCTTTTGGAATGTGTGGAACCCATAACAAACAAACCTACAGGACAGATTGTATTGGATTATTTGACTGACATGGTGCTTCAACATAAAACCAACTTATTTGGACAGCCTAGAGTTTCTCCAGATTCTAGGTATGCCGTTACATTGGAAAGAAGTAACAGTAGTGTCATAATTGTAGTCCAAGAAATCACAGAATATGGTAAGAAAATTTACTTTATTAAAAAAAACATATGCTGTACAATGTACTGAAATATCTATATATCAAATACACCTCATACTAAATATTGACAGTTTAATTTATAATGCTTCTTTATAGGCCTGTACTCAGTTTTTTTTAAGAGGTTTAAAATACATAAGTATATAAATTATATTATAAAAAATACAGTGTGTTACAAAAATTAATAGAGTAATATAGTAGACAAAGGAGAACTGAATGGGTACAAAACAATAACTTATATTTACGTAGACAGTACCATGTTAATGTTTTACTATGTACAGTCTGAACTGGCAAAGTTATTCACAAACTCACAAAATTTAATTGTCACTAGTGAGATGTTTAACAAAGCAAGGCCATTTGGTTGTTCTCATATGAGAAATTTCTGCTAGCAGAAAGTTCATTCTTTAGTCTATGCCATCACTGAGGAAGTGTTGAGCCTGTTACCAATTTAAGAAAACTTAAAAATTAAAATGTTTCACTTCCATCATAAATGTCCAGTGCTTGATTAATGAGATCATCTTTCTTTTCACTACAATTTTTAATTCTTATATAGTGAAGCTTTTTGTCCTAAAGGTTATTGGATATAAAGAAATTTTTCAAAAGCTAATTTTATGGGAAATTTGCTTATACTAAATATTGTGTTATTTTTCTTAAGTTTAACCATTTTAATATAAAGAGAGCTCAAATTTTTTAGGTTATTTTGTTGTAACTCAATACTGGAAAAGGTTCAGAATTTGCCATCATTTACAGCAGGTACTTCAGATGTTATTTGATCACTTTTCTTTGTGCCTCTCAAGGCTAAACCTTGCTGTTCACAAAGTTTTACCATTTTTATAACAGGCAGAAAAGTTCTTGTTTTCCTTGATCATTTTTTGTTTTCAAAACTTAATCAATAGACATTTTTCTAAAGTTTCATGCAAAAAATAGCATAATCGAATGCTATCTTCTATGTTCCGTATAGTTCATTTACCAATCCTTTGAAGGGGTTGATGATTAACACAAACAGTCTCTTTTTAGATAGTAAGACTCATGCTTTACAGAAAGCTGTATCCTCCTTTTGAAGCAAGAAATCTGTTTTCAAGGATCTTTATTGGCTTTTTCCAAATCAAGGAAATTCATATATTTCCAGGAAAGATATGTATTTTTAAAAAAGGAATTGAAAACATCAGAACATTTATCATGGGATATGTTAAGCTATTGATTGTTGTTTGTGGCTTTTCAACTAGTGAAATGCTGACACAGCTGACAGGTGAAGTCCTTTTAGCTTTGTCAGCATTTCATCAGTTGACAGTGAATTCTCAAAACCAACACAAATCATCATATATCAAATTTAATTGGAAACTGGAATCCTGGTTTCAGATAATAAATACACAGATTGTATTTGCTTATAACTTTATTTTATTTAATTCTCTTGTTTCTTCCTTGATTTGTAAACCAAAAAATTTTTGGTACAATATTCTATTCTGAATTTCAATTGTCTGGACTCATAGTAACTAAATTAACTAAATAATGTTACAAATACTTGCATATTTACACTGTAGTATATATGCATTTCAAATCACTATATTTCAGTGATTACTCTTCAATACAACTTGCCTTGATAGCATTACGCTAGATTGTCCTTGAACAAAAAACAGCACACATATTTCTTTGAATATTAAAGTTTCAGTTTATAACATCTAAATGCAATTTCCAGCAAACAAAAAGTAAAAAAATTTACTGGTCAAATGTTTTTGGCCACAATTTATCGGCCCTCAGAACTTTTTTTTATTCTTCCTGATGAGGGCCAATAAACTGTGGCCAAAAACATTTGACCAGTAAACTTTTTTTTACTTATTTGCTGGAAATTGCATTTAGGTGATGGTTGTTTACAAGGACATTCAAAGAAATATCTCCTCCATAAGAACAACAAGACATGTTATGAATATTTGCGTAGTTCATTTAGTTACTGCAAGTCCAGACAATTGAAATTTGGAACAGAATATTGTACCAAAAATTTTTTGGTTTATGAATCAAGGTAGTAGTAAAAGAATTGCTTATACTCTAAAAGAAAAAAAAAATTGGAGTTTTAATAAGTTCAGAATTTGGTCATTTATTGGACACCTTTCACCAAGAACACAGAAAAAACAGATTGATTCAGTAAATGAGAAATACCATTAATGTAAACAGTTTCATTTTTCATAGGTTTCCTCATTCAAAACAAACTCTTTATAATATATTGCTGTCACTATTTCACTTACTTTACTCTGTATAATCAGTAAATTACTTTATAAATAATACTTCTTTAACTGTGGAAGTTTACATATAACCATTTAAATACTGTTCATTCTTTAAATGGAAGGTGTGAAAGGTTATTGAATTCTCTATGTAAGAATGAGCATGGTAACAAGACAGATTCTAAATTTGTTCAAAATTTCACAAATTAGACAGAACAAGAATTAGAAAGTAACATTAAAACCTGTTAACAATAAATTGCATTAATTTAATAATTATTTCAATCTTCCCAAATAAGGAGTTAACTCCTAAAAAAACAAAAGTTACTATAAAAATTATAATATCATAATAAGAATTAAAATAATAACAAAACTTAATCAACTCAAAATACTTTGACGCTTTAACATCACATTAATTTAATGTGAAATGCCTAATGATGATTATCACTTAATAAAATGATCTGTTTTTGATTAATGTTTTAACTATTGTTAGACAATAAAAAAAATCAAGATATTAGAGATGTTGTGGCAGATGTTTTCATTGAAAAAAATGTGAATGTCGGACATTCAGCACCGCCATCCTGTAAGCCTAGAAGTTTGACAATGGCGTTTGGAACATCGAGCATGATTCCACTGACGTTCCAAATGCCATTGTCAAACGTCTTACGGGGTGGCAGTGCTGAATGTCCGACATTCACGTTTTTGCAATGAAAACATCTGCCACAACCTCTCTATTACTTATTGGAAAACAAATTGATAATGAGAAATTACATTTTGCAAAATATTGTTAAAAATTTTACAATTTGAAATCTAGTTTCATTACAATATAAAATTTCTTTTAAACATTGAATATTCAGCTACTTTTGAATTTATGTTCTAAAATATCGTACGGAGATGTTTATATATGAAACCAAATGATTGGCAGATTTAAATCAAAGCCATCTTTTTGGTTTCATTATTTATTATATGTCATTGAAAAGTCAAAATTAAATATATGAAATAAAATGCTTTTAATTTTATATTCTTCTTAGTCTTAGATTAGAATGCTCTTTTAAGTCAGATATAGGCAACCTACAGCATTCCATTACTTTTCTATGGTCTGCATACTATCAAGATTCTTATGATACAATTAGTCTTAAATGTGTTATTTATATCTTTGTTCACTGAAACAAATTTAATCACTTTACTTGACAATTTATGCAAAAGAAATTACACAAGATGTTGTAAAAAAAATGAATATTTACAGTTTTACATAAATATTTCACACATGTACAATTTACATAAAATTTATGTGATTAGTGTTTGAGCCCAAACTCATAGTAAACATGTCCCTTTATAGTAGAAAGATAAACCAGGCATGGGCAAACTGGTCAGAAAAAGAAAATTAAGTTTATAGATCTACATTCTGTCATGTTCATAGTATTTAATAAAATCAAACATTTTTCTTTCCCAACTCACAATGAAGTAATATTCTAAGAAACTAGAATATTATTTCATTGGCACATCTTTGAGAGAGAATGGGATGTGTATCAAAGATGTGCCCAGAGAGTGTGAGTGAATGGGATATAATATTGCTGGCATTCTTGCTTAAAGCCTTTTCTCACTGAGTCTTCTGTACATTGCCTTGATATTGAGGTTCTAGTAGTGGAGATTACCTGGCTTTGGCCAGGATAAGGAGGTACAAGTCAGAAAATGGATACTCAAAAATCTCAAAACATTTAGCAATCATGCTGCCTCAGCTTGTATGTGCTTCCAATTGTTTTCCACTTAGGTGACTAAGTGATATTGGCATAATTGACAAGTCAAGTATGAACTTGTTTTTGAAATCTGCTAAAAAATTTTTTTAAGGTATCTTTGTCTGAAAGCTGAATTTTGCATATTTAGATAAAAGCTTGATCAACTCTGATATATATATATATATATCAGGCAGAAAAGTTCTTGTTTTCCTTGATCATTTTTTGTTTTCAAAACTTAATCAATAGACATTTTTCTAAAGTTTCATGCAAAAAATAGCATAATCGAATGCTATCTTCTATGTTCCGTATAGTTCATTTACCAATCCTTTGAAGGGGTTGATGATTAACACAAACAGTCTCTTTTTAGATAGTAAGACTCATGCTTTACAGAAAGCTGTATCCTCCTTTTGAAGCANCTATTAATTTATCTCCACTCATTTTCTTATTTTTATTCTCCATATTATTAGCCATTTTCCTTTTCTTCTGTATTGTTTTTAAATTTTGATTTATTTTTGTTAATCTTGTATTATATTTATCTCTAAAAAATAATTTAACTGAATTATTTCTTTGGTATTCAAATCATATGTATACATTATATTATTTTTTAAAAAATAATCATCTCTAATTTTTATCTTATCATCCGATTTCTCCAGTTTAATCATTTTTAATAATAATTTTCTCCTGATTCTAGATCTATAACATAAGTCCGTTGATATTATTATTTTTTTATTTTCGTCCGTCATTTTCGGTTTTGTAGTCCAAAATTTATTGAGAATTAGATTTCTGTCTTTAACCGATTCGGTCATAACTTTAATTACTTGATTATTTCTTCTATTTCTTATTTGAATAAGACCTTCGATTTCTATACCATTAAGCTCTAAGTTAACTTTTATAAATTTTTTAAATTCTTCTACATATTCCGAGGTTTTAAATGGAAAATTAAATATAATTAAATTCTTCTTAGGAGAACAATATATTGAAACAAGGTAACTTTGTTGTTAATATACCATAGATGCATATGTTCATCAAAGAAAGGAAAGCATTAAAAACACTAGCTTAAATGATTTTTGCACATGCAAATTTCTGAAATTAAATTTTAAATTAAGAGTTTTAAAGAGTTAAATTAAGAGTTAGCTAATAAACAATAAGTTGTCATAAAATTTGTCAGTATCTTTTACAGAGCAAGTTTGTTTATACACTGTGATAATGTATATATGAATTTTCTGAATTACAGTGGTGCCTCGTATAATGTACTTTATCCATTCCAGGTGCACGTCCATTAAGTGAAAAGTCCATTATATGAAACGTATTTTCCCATAGAAATGTGTGTTAAAACATATAATTCATTCCATAGCACCATTAAAAAAAAATGAAAATGGAGCAGTCACCAATTATGCCGGGTAGTCAGATGTTGTGAGGAGGAGGTGGAGGAACACTTTCTTCACACATTCATACAGATAGACTTTTTACACATTGCAGCAGGTCTCTTTTTATTGTTTTTTTAATCAGAGTCAGATTCAGGAGAGGTTACTGGAGCCTGCAGGGTCATCTCCTCTTGTTCCATCCTTTGTTTTTTGGCAGCTGGCTTCTTGAAAAATGTGTCCAAGGTGGTCTGTTTCTCTTTCCTCTTCAATGCCTGTCGGAAATGACGGGCAAGGGTGTCATTGTAGAGATCATTGATCATGTTGGCCTTAGCTCTGTTTGGATAATGAGTGTTGGTAAACTCCTGAACCTCTCCCCATTTGACAAGGATTTTTTTTGTCAACTTTCACTCTTTCGGATGATTTCTTGCTTTGTTTCAATTGAAATCACCTTTGTTTTTTTAGAAGCCATGATTTGCACAACACTTGAATAAATGTAAATACCCTGCACTGAGGTGATGTACGTACATAATAAACAAGGGAGCAAGCCGAATCCCAACAGGAGCTCTGTACTTCAGATATACTAATATATTATAAAAATAGCAGATTGTTATTGGCAACGGCAAAAGAGTGAAAACATCAATTGCACTTGTCTGCAGAAAGTTTGTTGTTCGCCTCACATAACTGCCGAACAGAAAGTCCGTTGTTCGCAGCCAGTCTGTTGCTCGAGTCATGTAATAGCCAAACAGAAAGTCCGTTGTTCAAAGTGTACGTTATATGAGGCACCACTGTATTTTAAAATTTGTATTTTATATATCAATAAATATAACACCAAAACAGAATTGTGTTTAAAAAGTTCATTTTATTAAAATCTTTGTATTATTTTTCAGGCTTAAAATTCTTATTTGATGTCAAGACCACTTTGCAAATCAGCGATATCACATTTTTTCCTTCAAGAACTACTCATAGCTACGATCTCTATGCCAGTTCATCTGTTAAAGAAGACATCTTGTTTGTCAACCTTGCTGATGGCAAAGTAGAAATGATAACTAGCGTTGGACGTGCAATGGATCCACGATTAGCTATGTGGGGTAATACCAACAGACCAATAAAAAGTGCTGGAGTATTTGGCACCTATATGGTTACCACAGCCAACGAGGCCATTTTTGTTGTCAATGGAAAAACATTAACTGTTAATTGTGAAATTGGTAATCTTGTCCATCCTCGCAATATGGTGTGGGTAAAGTCACCATGAATATGAACAGACATAATCAAAGCAATTACAAAATCACATTTGATTTTTGTGAGAAGTAGCCAGTAACATACGCATCATAACTTAAATGCTGTTTATATAGCAGAAAGTTTGTAATCTTTCTGCTAAACCATAATTCTCTCTGACTATTCATTTTTATCTTCATTCACAAATTGTACAATTTTATTCATTTGGTCTTAAATGGTTTTTCCTTGCAACTTCTTCCTGGCTTATGGTGCCACATCTAGTCTGCCAACCCAAGTTGTATAGGACATGTACAGATCTCTCCTTATTCAGGCTCTTTAGTGCCTGTCAGACATTTTGCTATTGGTCCAATAGTAGTGTTGGTTCTGTGTTTGTGTAAATTGTGCAATTATGCACTTGAATTTTTTTGTTGACTGCTATAGAGGTTTCTGTACAGATTTTTGTAGTGATTAAAATATGTATAAATAATCTAAATCATCACAGATCTGCAAATATGCAGTGCAATTTCAAAAACGGCTTCATGTGATTTAATCTACAATTAACTTTCATCACATTTATTTGCAGACCTCTATATAATTATATGTTTGTCAGTTGATTCAATTTTACTATCAGTAGATCTGTTAGTGATAGGAATTAAGAGTGTTTTAAATTTTCAGAAGATCCATTATTTCGTCATGTACAGCTACAAAATTTTGCATTATTTGTAGGCAATTTGGGAAACATCAAGAAATGAAGCTTTAAAAAAAAAAATTAAAAAATACCAAGGTGTCAAAACTGTTTAGATGTCATTTATATCTATTTAGATGGTCATTATTTAAATCCCCAAATGGGAATGCCCACACTAAAAAGGTCACAAAGTCATTAGTATAGATGTCTAGTTCAATAAATAAAATAGTATAATAAATTATAAAACAAACTGAGGAGCGTCAACTTTTATAAGTAATGTACAAACAAATAAGTTTAAAAAAATTTTATGGATTTTTTTAGAGACATTAATTTTGCATTTATAAAATCATAACCAGATGTTTACCTTACTTTGAAACAATTTTAAAATATCAATCGCTCTGAGTGTTAATGGGCTGATATCTAATCAGCCAAATTATGCATTTAAATGATGGTCTTATCATCATGTATGCAGATGAAATAAAGTTGACCATTCAAAAAATTCTTGTAATTTTCTTTATTTGTAAGTGAATCATTAACTCTTAAAATATAATTTTTATATACATTACACACTCAAGCACACAGAATACTCTTTGGTTTTAATACAAGACAGTTCACATTAAGACACAGATAAAAATATTTTAAATGGCTCATCTTTGATGTAAATATATATAAAATAGTAATTTAAAAGAAAAAGGCACATGTAAAAACAATCTTACCTCTATCTTATCACAGTTTTTTCCAAAATAAAATCTGACTCGACATAATTGTAGATAAGAAGAAACACACAGGAAATTACTTTATAAATAAAATTTCCTATACAATATATATTTTTCTTCCATAATAAATAAAATTTATACAATTCTATCTTTGATACTCTCTACTTTTTAAAAATAAAGAATGATATATTGAAGGCAAAAGTAAGCACATTACAATAAGTTACCTTCACTGGATCATACCAGTGCTTCATCAGCTGCTGTAATTCCAGTTATATGATCTAAAATATCCTGAATTTGTTGACGAATGTCTGCAGAATTCTTCAAATGCATGCCAAAATCATATTCTCCATTCATATTTAATGATGCTGCTTGTATTGCATTAGTCTTCTCATTGCTGATAGGAAACTGATTGTCATTTTGGCACACAGTTTTAATGACATTGGTATTTAAAGAGCTATTTAAAGCTGAAACTGAGAAGCCATTATGTATCATGGGAGTGTGCTCTTTGTTACTTATACTTTCCCACATAGATGATTCATTTCCATTGCTAAAATCAGAAAGACTACTTTTGGAATGATTTTCTGTCCGAACTTCATTTCTTGATAATTGCTGACTCAATGTTGGAGTATAATCACTTTCCATAATTGATAGTTCTTTATCAGTTGTTTTACTTGTTGACGTGTCAGTAATTGTATTATTTTCAAATGTTATCAGAGTTGAATTAGTAGCGCAACTTACCCATTCATTTTCTATAGGGCAGGGAGTAGATGAACGAGGCTCATTTGCTTCTATTGTGCTAGCAGCCATATATTCATAGTGATCTATATCATTGCTTAATTTTTGGCATTTTTCTGGATGAACTAAAGTGATATCTACAAAAGTACTTTGGTTAGAAAATGGCTTAATTTCTCTACAAAAAGGGTTAAATTTTTTATTTGCTCCTTCTCTTAAAACTGGCAAGCTATACATATCTTTAAATGAGGACCTATTTGAATATCCAAAATTAAATTCATCTCTAGAATCTTGTGTAACTGCTCCTAAAACTTTTTCTAACATTTCTACTTTTGCTTGAGCTGCAGTCAATTCTAAATTATTTTCGCCCAACTTAATTTGTAGTTCATCTTTTGCTGCAGCCAAACGACGAAGACGAGAATGCAGATTAACTTCAGTTTTCTTCCATTCAGATGTACGAGTTAAGAGTGATTGTTCTGCATGCCATAATTTAGCATACAACACTTCATTTTCCATAAGATACAAAAGTAATTTTCTTTGCAATTCTAATGTATTAGTTTCATTAAGAATATGTGAAATCTTGATATTACTACTATCTTTTTCCAACTTTCTTGATTTTTCTGAATTTGCAAACCTCAATGGTGGCCAGCTTTCGGCTTTCGGAGTGCTAGTTCCCTTTACAAATTGCATATGAAGACTATGGATTTTCATTTCTAATTGTTGTTTCTCAGATAAGGCTAATTCTAAATTCTCTATCAGTTTTTTATTTTCTTGTTTTAATTCCTGACTTGCTGTCTCTAAAAACAACAATTTGTTTTTCATAGTTGACTTTTCATCTTCAACTTCTCCAATGAGTTGTTGCAAGCTTTCTTTTTCTGTATTCAATCTTTCCATTTCCTTCTCTACTTCAGATCCAACAGAAACAGAGTTATGATCAATATCAGATTTTGTTAATTCCTTTAAATCATCTACTTCCTGTCTTAACGATATTCCTTTTTCTTTTATAATATCTAGGAGCACTAATAATTCATCTTGATCTTTCTTCTTACTTTTTATATCAGAGAACATTCCACCAGAATTTGTATGATGGTTGCCTCCTTGTCCGTGGTCAGATTCCAAACCACTATCTTGTTTATCACAGTCTGTAATGAGTTTGTCAGTTACTTCACATAATGATTGAAATTTTATTTCATTCTCTTTTAGATCTATATGATCTTTCATAAACTCAGATTTCTCACAATTGTTATAACTATCTTGTTTGTTTATTTCTACAGTATCATGTTTCTTGTTGGACGGCAATTCATTTGAAAACACAGTTACAAACGAGTTTTGTAATTCTGATTTTTCAGATTTCACATTATTAGAAATTGAATCTTTAGAATGCATTAATATTGGCAAACTTACAGCATGATTGTTACACTCAGCAAGATTCATCTGAAATTTAATTGCTTGGACAGCCGAAGTTACATTATTTTGTGATTCTTCTAATAACTTCAATCGCCTATGTATCTCCTGTAAAATTAACAAATTAATCTATTTTATAAGATTTAATTTTAAAAATGCTATAATTAAAATATATTTAAGTTATACTAAAATTGTTCAAAACATAAGTAATAATCAGTTCTTAGTTAATTTAGAAAATTTTAGTTATTGCTTTATTGTTACATTTTGTAATAAGAGAACTGATGTTAAAATTTTTTAATATAATAGCTAGGATAGTGCTTTACCCATAAATCTAATGTATAGAATTTCTTCTTTTAAGTACAGTAGAGCGTCGATTTTCCGAAAGTCAATCATCCGAAAGAATTCCAGTCAGCAAATTTAAATTTTCGCCAGTGCTGTGGCGCTTCAATCTTTGGCTATGTCTTGGGCTACTCAAATATTTTACGTTTTTGATATTAAATTAACATCTGAAGTATAATTTTTTATTGTTTTTATATTTTTCAATAAATTTATTTTGTTTGTACAAAATAAAAAAATAATTTTTAACGATACAATAGTCTTTGTTAGGCTTAATGTCGACGAAAATTCAACGCGAAGCAACACGCAACAAAGAAAAATTTTGTCATCGGATATGTTAAACTATTTTTTCGTACGTAAATCAGTTATCCGAAATATCAGTTATCCGGACAACCCCAGTCCCCAATTGATTCGGAAAATCGACGCTCTACTGTACTTATACATACATTTAATTTTTAATACATTTTTCTACTAAATTACTAAATTATCTTGATAATTTCTTCTTAAAATTTAAAATGTCTTATCTTTAAATTTGTGTCGAACCTAATTACTGAAATTAATTAAATACTACTTTACAATAGTTTAAAATCTAAATAGCATTCATTTCCAAGAATTGAGATAAACTGTATAACATTTGCAGTTTGTGTAAAACTACAAAGAATAAAATTTTTCTTACAATAATCTTTCCAACTTTACAAAACATATTTCAAAACAGCATTCAAATTGATACTTTTATTGATATATGAAAATAAAGAATTAATGTAAATAACAATTTTATTCATTTAAAATTATAAAGACAGTTCAATGACTCAAACTGGGTATACACAAGCACTACATATAAAACCAATATCCAGCAAGAACTACAAAAATCTACAAAAGCAAACAGTTTATTACAGTTTGACCATTTATTACAAGTGCGACCATTTATTACAAAGCTGATGATGACCATTTAACATGGGAGAAAACATTTGTTTTTGTAGATTTTTATAGTTCCTGCTGTATTTCGATTGTGTGTGTAGTGTTTAATTTACAGAGACAATATTTCATTAAGAATTTTTTAATTATACGAAACATCTTTGTTTTAAAAAGAATATTCATAAGAACAAAGTGGAAAAAACCTTCCAAATTATATATTGTAAGAAAATAGACTAAATTATATATGAGAAGAGTATAGCTTGATAAAAATAATTCACAAGCTTATATTTCTTTATAAATAAATTCAATACAGTACTAAACAACTTTTTATAACCAGCATCTATAGCTCATAAAAACAAAAATAATAAAAATTGATAAAATTCAAATCAAATATTCATTTGACTTCAATGATTACATCATGTAACCAAAACCACCATTTCAAGTTCTGATAACTCACTCATTTTCCAGAACTTTTCTACAAGACTGTATTACATAGTTTTTTTACACATTTAGTACAGTCTTATAGAAGAAAAATTACAAAAAATGAATTATCAGAACCTGAAAGTATATGATTAAATAAATGATGCAGGTTTCAGTTATGCATTTAAACAAAATTTCATAATTTACAACTTAAGTGAAAAGTATACATATCAATTTAGATGGATGAAAAACTAATCAAGTAACAAATGTTTAATAGTACCAAAGCAAGGAGTGAATTTAAAGAAAATGTATAGAACATAATTAAAGGTAAGGTATGCATGTTCATTATTTTGTGATTTAGGGGGGGAATCACACAATAAATGAATAGGTCTATGGCACAATGGATTTTCCATATTTTCTAAATATGCTATTTACGACTTTAGACAAAGTAAAACTGTTTACTGAGTTTGTAATTGCAATTTAAAATTTGCATACAACCTGCCCTATCTCAACCTGTATACACTTTCAAACAGTCTTTTAATTAAACAATACTTTGATATTTAGAATATTTACTTATAATTATAATCTTCCGAGTTCCAATATAATTTTTAGCTTTTTAAGCTATATCTTTTGCAAATGTTTGATAATATATATTACTAGCGGACCCCACCACGCGTTGTTGTGGCTCAAAATGTATCTATTATAAATGTATAACACTTCCCCCGTAGGGGGAATTTTTCGAAAAATTTCTTCTTAGTGTACATTCTGTTGACGTACCCTATTAAAACACAATCAAAAACGCAAAAAACCGCATCTAAAATAGTATAAATAGAAGCAGAGTTCTTTATGGTAAGCTTTAATCCTAACCATCTCCCTTCAGTGGGGGGAATTTCGACACGTATATTATATAAAAACGTATGCGTATTCGAATGCAGTGTTGTGTCAAACTTTCAAAGGAATCGGTAGGAACAAACGAACATTACATTTTTATTTATATAGATAGATAGATGATGATCTGCTTTAGTTCATTTTCACAGAAAAGCATAATGCATCACAGAAAAGCAAACTTAGGGCGTCGTACTCGTAGCGCCATCTGTTGGACATAAAAGTCTTAACCTAGATTATATATATATTTTTTTTTATTCTGATGAAACCGTGTTGTTGTTATTAAGCTGTTTCTTTGCAGACACACTAAGGTGACATACATCAACACTTGGCAACTTATTGACTATTTATTCAGTTGGCTTCGGAACGGATTTCTCCCATCCCTTAGGACCGACTGACCCATGTTCAACTGCTGTTCACATGGAACCCTTCTCCACGTCAGTCCTCAAGGTTCTCACTTGAGTATTTGCTACTACCGTTCCGAAGCCAACTGAATAAATAGTCAATAAGTTGCCAAGTGTTGATATATGTCACCTTAAGGTGTCTGCAAAGAAACTAGATTATATATTTTAATTTATATGAATGTTTAACAGAATAATATACAGCCTATGTCCAGAGGTTCCATTCTAAATATCAGTGAAAGAATTTTTGAAATTGGATGAGTAGTTTCAGAGATTACCTGCTGCAAACAAACTTACATACATACATACAAACATTACCTCTTTATAATATTAGTATAGATGTTCTGTATTATGTTTTCAAAAAACAATGGGAACAGTTCAGACAACACATTAATTTCTCCATTAGAATGCAGTATACAATTAACAAACAAAAACTAAAAATATTGTGAGTATCAAAGTTATTTATTTAACACTAAAGTAATTAAGGAACTAGGTACACAAAATAACTGTATGTTCAAACTTTTGGGGTATTGAACATCCAATAGCATGCAACAAGCCTCAAACATCTTCCATTGTTATGAAAATGTTTTAATTTTCATAAGGAAACATTCTCAGCCTTCTTCAGAGAGCTGCATCAGGCTTACACAAAAGAAATTTAAATGCAAAGTGAGAATTCCAAATTTAGATGTTTTTTGAGATTGTTCTTTATCATAGCAGATGATAATAAATCGTGCTCTTAAACTTTTATCTAATAAGAATCTAACATGAAAAATTATTTCTTTCATATGTCATAGCATTTAAACAATCTCAAAAAAACTTTCTAAATTGAAATTCTAAGTTTGCATTTACATTTCTTCTGTGTAAACCTGACAGTCCTCTGAAGAAGGCCAAAAACATTTGCTATTATGAAAATTAAGATATTTTCCTGCTGAAAGAGTGTTAAAGGTTTGCTACATGTTATTGGATGAAAAAGTTCTAGCTTTCAAAATACTTCTTGAGTTACTCAAAAACAGTCCTAGGCTTAGATGATTCCAAAATCGATTTTTGAATATGTTCATATTTTCAAAGGCCCTTTTTGAAAAATGCCATGGCCTCCATTTTAACCTCTGTAGAGAGGGATAGTCAGATATGGCACTATCACTATAAATGTGGGAAATTTTTTAAGAATTTTTGCACGTGTTTTTCTCATTTCCATTTCAGGAAAAAAATTTTTAAACAGTTATGTCTAATAAAGAAAAAAAAATCTTTATTGTCACATAATTCCTTTTTGTGAATTTTTTTCCTGATAATTTTTGGCTAAGTTTTTTGTGGATATTGATATCGTTCTCAAGTGCCACATGATCGCCCTTGATGGGTATATCTGTCAATCACTGCAGAGTGGTTAATATTTGTAAGAAGCTTAAATTATTAAAATTTAACTATTCAAAAACTTAGTCTTTATAATTTGAATTTTTCTTAAATATTACTAATATCCAAAATAAAAAGATGGAACCAATAATTTGTAAAATCAAAACCATTTGCACTTTTCTAGTAAATGAGTTTAATGAATAAAGTGAATATACAAACATTTTCAGTTTCTTTTAAAATAAAACTGAAAACATTAATCAGTTCTATTCTCAAGGAGGAATTGTTAATATATGTTTGGTTTTACAAAAAAATTTGGTCACTTTTTTTATTAACACTTTTTTCCATAATCTTTGTTGGCTTTTCCATCACTGAAGTTTCAAACCTTAAACGGACTCTTTTGATATATATTGCTACAATTCAAAAACAAAGTTTCATAACTTGTGAGGATGTCATTAATATATTTTGAAATCCCATTTGAGTGTTTTTGAAGCAGAAAGAGTACTAATCAACTCTTGCCTCCAACTGCTCAGAAGTCAATAATGTAGGACCCATCTGACACAAATATTCTTTTAAAATGGTATTAATATTATATGAAATAATCCAAAAGCTTGCAGCAATTTCCTCAGAGTGCCTCTTCTGTAACCAGTTTTTCCATCTACTATATACAGTAGTTTCTTGACTGAATGCAGTCCTTTTAGTGAAGTCTACAAGACTGCACTAAAAGGACAGCCAGAACAATGTTCAGCTTTTGAGCTTAGTCTTCCACATTTAAATTTGCAAACTAATTAAAAATTGATGCATCTG